TGTCTACAGCAAAGTATTTATGGACAGTCAGACACTGATAAAAGAGATTTCTTTCATCTCTTCTGTAATAATTTGTTGTATCTTATGTGGCATACATTGCAATGAAAACTATTATTGGCATTTTCCAGTTTTAGTGAAGCTTCTTTTAAAACAAAAGATTTGTATATATAGGGAATTTTTCAGACAGTGAAAGGAGAAATTCCCTGGTTAAGAGATGGCAAAGAGAAGAGCTTTCTGAAATTCCCTATCCCAATCAATGTCTTTGCCAGAAGGCTCATGTACAGAGATGTCTTCTCCCACTAAGATGTACTGCAAAGGGCTGCAGGTAATCAGGAAGAAGCAGATTTCTACACAATGGACTAAAAAAAGGCCAACAGGACTGTGACATTTGTCATTCTCTTGTGTACATGTAGGCACTCCATGTTTCCAAGCAAGCTGTTCACAACAGATGGTTAAATGATGAAAGCTCTTTCACTTTTTAAACTAAGTATTTTGAAACATTCTAAAAAAAAGAAAGCAATAAAGCTACCATGCACATGCAGGAGCACCATCTAAGATAAGTACATTCAAAAAGCTCCAACAAAATGCTTCCCATTGTGATATTCAATCCCTGTGGCCACTAATAATACCAATAATGGATGAGAGAACATTTTTCTATGGATTAGATAGGGACTAAACAGACATAAAATCAACAGCAGGCACATATAGCTAATTCCAGTAAATCAGAAAGTTAACAAAAAATGTTCAGTACCTCCTGTTAGGTTTAATTTTTATAGAAGGGAATGAATAGCACCACCACTTTACACACCATAATTTAGAACAGCCGGCTATGAAACAACGTATGCTTAACACAGGAAAGCTTGGCTAGTGGATAACCTCCTGATAGGAAAAGTCAGTACTGATTTATGACAAATAAGACCCATTGCAGAAGCTACATACATTACCAGATCCTGAGCAAGTTGTAGCTCCACAAGTGAAGGACCTGAATACCATTTGAATACTGACAAAAGAAAAAAAAACATGAAAATATGGCTATGCTACTGAATAAATTTGTGGAGCCACTATATGTGAACTATGCTATTTTGTTATGCTCATCAGAATTCTCAAAACAAAGTACAAGTCAACAGATTCCTGTTTGGAGTGAACACAGTGAAGGAAACATAAGGCAGATGTACACAGACGTGCACAGAAATGATGTGACAGGGCTTCCAAGGTATGAATTTGTTTTATACACAACCATTCCAAGTCCTAGTCTTTTAGTCATTATTTATTAAATCAACCAAGTTCTAGCAATGCCCAATATTTTTTCACAACACTGGGATGTAGTAACAATGGGTTTGAATTACATATTACAGAAATTTTATTTGCTTAAACTGATACATACACAGAGGTTTTTAACTCTTCCTCCTCAATGAGTTTTACAGGAAGAGCAATACTTACATTGTAGGATACATTTCACTCATCGGTAAATGTTAATTTATTACCACAAAGCTGTTGGCATTCCAAAAGTATCACTGCAAATGAAAGACTAATGCTGTTACAGATTGAATTTCATTAGCACGGAAACATGTCAATCTTTGATTAAATTAATGATGAAACAGAGTGTTTTAGGAAACACTCAGTAGTGTCACCAGCACAGCACAAGGAAATCCACCAAGTAAGGATTTGCAATTTAGAAGAGAATGCCTGGAGGATGTAGCATATTTATGAGTCAGGCTCATGTTCCAACAACTGAGAAAATCATTTGTCACTCAGCCTCATTTTTCAGTTCTGTTGTCTGAATGAAGAGCAAAGAAGATTCTAAGATTACGAGTAAGTATCAAGGAAGCTGTACATTATTGCAGTTTTCCATCTCCACAAAGTGATGCTGATTCACATTTTTCCTTCCCAGTATAAAAATATTTTAGCAGTCTGGAAAAATTGGAATGCTCTACTTCCCTCAAAGAGGCAAGTATCATTAAGATTTGAAGCCCACCATTACAACTGGAACGTGTTCGTGGTTACATGTGAACCAGCAATCAGACCAGCCAGGAGCTATTCCCTAGCCCTGTCACTGAACAGGATGGCATGGGATGGTCTGTGTCCACATGGCTGAATCTCCTCCTGCCTCCAAAGAAGATGTCTGCAGCCAAACTAACCACTGGGAATGGTCCTGGGACTCTGCCAAGCCCAGAACCATGTCAGGGTGCTGCTGGGAGTTGTTGTCTCCTTTGGGCCATAACATCACTTAAAGACTAGCCTAAAAACATCACTGGCCCAGTACTCAAATCCATGCAGTGGTCCCACTTAGTAACAAGTATGGACGTAACCTGTGTGCCCCTTGTCCACTAAAGACTTAGCTAAAGACATCAACCTAAGACTAAGTCTGTGTTAATGGGTCTCCTCAAGGAATCCTTAACAGATTTAACCCTCCCTTTGAGTCAATAGGAAAATAGGGATGGGGTCCAAAACTGAATTTATGCTGAGGTAAACTGGGAATTCCTGTTCTATTTCTCTCGATGAAATAAGAAAGCATTATTTCATAGGAGTTGAAGAAAAAATGCAGTAGCACATTAACCTGCAGAGCTAAGGGCCAAAGAAATCAGCAGTACTCGTGTCCAAAGAAGGGCAATGAAGCTAATAGAAAACATGTCTTATGAGGAGTGGCTGAGGGAGGTGGGTTTTTTTAGCCTGGAGGAGGTTTAAGGGGGACCTCATTGGTCTCTACAACTACCTGAAGTTGCACTGAGGTGGGAGTTGGTCTCTTCTGCCGTATCTCAAGTGAAAGCATGAGAGGAAATGGCCTTAAGTTGCACCAAGGGAGATTCAGGTTAAATATTCTAAAAAACATTTCCACTGAAAGAGTGGTTAGACAGTGGAATAAGTTGCCCAGGGAGGTGGTGGAGTCACCATCTCTGGAAGCGTTCATGAAGTGTCAGGATGCAGCACCTCAGGACATGGTTTAGGGCTAATTATGGTGGTGCTGGGTTGATCACTGGACTAGACAATCTTGAAGGTCTCTTCCAAATTCTGTGATGTTGTGAAAACCTACAGCTGAGGAGAAACCAAGAGGGAGAGACAAGGAGAAAGTACTTTCTCCTTTACATGTATGCTAAGAGAGGGATATTCTAGTCTGTATTATCTAGTTGTAGATTATGGAAGGGCTTTAAATTGCACAACAAAATTTTCTTTACTGAAAGAGGGCCCAGCATTGTAACAGATTGTTCAGGGACATGGTGGGATCACCATCTCTGGAAGTGTTCAAAAAACATGTGCATGTGAAACTGTGGGGAAATGGTTTAGTGGTGAATGCAGTGGTGAATTAATGGTTGGACTTGATGACCTTAGAGGTCTTTCCCAAACTGAACGATTCTATGACTCTATGATTCTAAAAATCAGATCTGCTAAACATCCATTCCAAATATAAATATTTACTGGATTATTTGAACAATAAATGCAACGCATTAACCTCTAGCTCAGAATAATGAATTGTAAGCAATGAAAGGCTCTTAAAGCAGAGAATTTAAGACCAAAACCAAAATGCATGTAATAAAAGAATATCACATAAGAACTACACAAAAATAAAATCAAATGATCTAGCTACTAAAATACACATATGTGCTCAAAATCTTGTGGGAATCAAATACTCCAGTAAAAATAAAGGGAATGGAAACACAAGTTTCTTATTATCACACTTCATATGTTATAAAACCTAAGAGTTAACTTATTTTTGGCAAAGGGACAAAGGTTGCACAATATTCTGGCCTACACAAATATTTTCTATTGTTAAATGCATCTTAATTGTAGCTTGTCATATATTAACTTCATGCACCATGCAGTCTAAGAGTGTCCCTAAGATCCCTACGTTTCAAACCACTGACGGATAGCAAGCTGCCAGCATCCAGTGACCCAGGTGTAAAAAGGTTACTCAACAATTTAGAGTTTAATTGAAACCAGATAAAAATCATTTGAGCAATAAAGACTGCACAGATGTTGACAAATAAAAGTTGGTTGGCTTGGACAAATTACTGCATATGTTTTCTAGAATGCTCCTTCCTGAAAAGATAAAACAGTAATAAAAGTTCTCTCAAAAATGCCCTTGTTTATAATCACAAAGTGAAATATGCCTGTGGAAATATATCAGGTTATCCCCATGTTTCACATTTTTAGTTGCTCTTTCCTTTAAAGGGAAAAAAAGTTAGATGTGCAGTGGAAATGGTTATGAAGAAGTGGAAGAACCTACTCATGCATATATTAACCACAGACTTCATGCTAACACAGCACTTCCACAGCACTGAAGATTTCATAATGTACAGGAAGAGGCAACGATTTAGCATGTGAATGTTTAAGAATTAAAGTTCCATATTCCTCACTCATCATCCACTAGTAAAGGGTGTTATTACTGAGCACTAAGAGTTTGCCATTTACAGAGGCGCAAGGACACAGTACTGCTTCAGCCTATTGCTCCAGAGCAGTAACAGCTCTTGCTCTCATTGAGTTACACAAACCAAGACTGAGTTGCAGAAGAAATGCTGTTTGCACATGTATTAAATTTTTTAAATGTCCTTCATAGTAGTACTCATCACAATTTATATTTCCATACATTTCCCCACATATAGACAGCAATCTGCTTGCCTTGAGATAAGAAACTGCTATTAAAATCATAAACAGCATTAATTTTTGGTGTAATAACATAATGTAATTGCCAATTATCTAGTGATCTGCTTGTAAATTCAAGATAAGAAGAGAACAAGAAAGTCCTAAGTCTATTTATCACTATTATTAATAATTTATATTCCAAGGGCATTAAAGATACAAATTCAGATTCAGAATTTATTTTTACACCAAACCACTTCACTGTATGTTATTAGGATTAATTATTAAGTTTTTTTGTTCCATTTTAATCAAAAGTTTTGTATAACAGAATACAGCTTCTACGGGAGACACATGGCATTACCCATGGGCTAAGCACGTGCACTGCTTTGCTAATAAATAACTCCCACTCTAGAAGGTTCATGTACCTGAAGTTCTGATGATCGCTTCATCATCTCCAGGGTGATGTAGCAACCAATAGAATGAGCAATCAGTACCAGCTTTATGTCTTTTGACACATTCTTTTTGAGGAAGCTCAGCTTATGCTCTACTTGTCCGTTAAGTCCAAAAACATCCTCTAGCTCCTTAATATCTGTGTCTGAAACATAAAAGAAAAAAGATTCTCTGTTTCAATGATAAAAACTTCAGATATCTCTTCCCCTCCCCCAACTTCTTTACAAAACACTGAAATAAATACATGTATTAATTAAAAAAACCCACAACAACAAACTACCAGACTTAAAAACTTAAATTACCACCACTGGTAAATATAGACTGATGAATCATATGCACAGGATGTGAAGCCTTATGTGTACCTTGGGAACCAAGGAATGATATAGAAACACATGGAGCTTCATGGCACATCATCCAGTATTGTGATCTCCTTCATTCAGAACAAGATCGAACTCAGGACATTGGATTAGCTAAAATCAATCCGACTTTACACTGAGAGATCAGGACCTACAACAGCAATACTGCCCAGGAATGACAGTCCCTTCTCACAGAAGACAAACTATCATATATGTCATCAAGCACTAACAACAGAAGTGTTCCACGGATTGAGGAAAAATAGGAAATGCCTATATGTTAACATAGACCATTAGTACCTACATAAGCTACCCCTATTTATGCAGGTTCTTATGTTCCCTTGTAAACATTTGCTATCATTTCTGTACTGCTTTACTCAAGCACTGCCACCTCAGTAATTTATCAGCATGTCTTTTAATGTTTGACATTTCATTTCAATTCTAGAAAATAAGTGCTTTTACAAGAATTTCATCTTATTTGCTACTTAGAGCAAGGAAAAACAAGGCAAAGTAGGTGTATCAATCTTCTAGAGAATGTCTCATGGTTCACAAGACTCAAAAAACCAAGTAGGAAACAAAAAAAAAATTAATTAGCACTATTCAATCTCATTAGGTTAATGGCTGTTTTTCACTACACAAATTCAGAATCCGCTAAAAGAGATGCTGAACATTGCTGCCATGCAATCAAACAATACCGCAGAGACAGTCTTAGCCCCATCTCAAAATTTTCCAAGTTTAGATAACTGTTAGACAAATACAGTTAACTATTTTAGTTATTAAGACATTAGATATCTAATTTACTATTTAGTTACCTAACAAATAGCAGTGTAGAGATTTTGCCCAACATATTCATAGCTATTACTGACTTCAGCAGAGATGTGCCAGTTCAGAACCAGTTGTGTTGCCAAAGCAAGAACCCTCAGCAGGGACGCGGCTGGAGATTAAGAGTATAGTGAAAACAAGAGCTTCTTCCTTCTTGCACTTGCCCAGACTTGAGTTTAGGACTTGAGCATAGTCCACTCCAGCCTGTGCACTAGTGTTTCCTTAAGGGAGCCTGAGAGAGCTGAGCTTGCAGAAGTGATTTTTAATTGGATGGGTTAGTTGTGATTGATGATGATCAGGGATATGCATTCTACTGCTCCGGGCCAAATCACCCTCAGCACACCCCTGCTTGCACCACTCAGAGCAAGGATGTTCTGATCCCCATGGCTATTGGCCTGTGTAACATACACGTACAACCTCCCTGAGGCTGCAAGCAAGTCCTGACAGCCAAGAACGACCCCAGAGAATTATTTCAGCTGTTTAATACAACTTTTCCCTTTATTCTGAAATACTGGTTTGTTGACAAACCCAATCACCTTGGCATTTTTCCTAGAGAAGCCACACAGGAGGATAAGCATGAAGTGTGGGGTGATCCACACACAAAACTCTTATCACTGACTGATCTTGCACTCATCAGGTGAAACTCCAGTGTCATGTAACCCTGTATGGAAATGTGCATCCCATTTCACATCTGGACAAATATAAAATTGCCCATGCCTCGTGTCACTTCATGTTTCCCGAGCACAAATGCTACACTTCTAATAGTCCAAAATATGTGAGAGCTGGGCTGTGTCACAAGTTTGGAAGATTTATTTATTTATTTTACAGAATAAAATTGCCCAGGGATTATCCAAAATCAACATGAATTTCTTGGGTGGAGAAGCTTAAACGGGTTCTTTGTATAAGCAAACAGACTTGCACAAACACACTGGCAGTCAGCTCTCCAGTGGCTCTACATCAGAGAAGGGACCAGAGTGACTTCACCTCAGGTGTGGAATATATGCCATGGCAGAGGGAGAGCTCATTTAAGCAGTTTTCAGATAGTAGAAATTATACAACTCGTACCTTATACTGCAAACACCCCATCTGGGCCAAGACATGGGATTTTAAGACTTTATTTAGCTGAAGTGCATTAAAAGAAATACTGTATTTCTTTATTTTCTTTGGCAAAGCATTAATCTTCTGATGTGCTTTCAGAAAAACAAATGCGCCATCACTTTAACGAATCTCTTTTTCTGACCTCTACTAAACCCACAGTCAGAAAACAATGATAGATTAAAATAAAGTGTTTGCTCTAAGATTTGTCGACAAGTTAATCTTGCTAGGAAAGAGGACTTTGGTTTTCAGGGAAATAACAGAGAATTGTGTTTGTTTGTTTTTCTGCTGTGTATGCAAGGGAAATTCTTCAGCAGAAAAAAAAAGCATAGCAGTTATACAAGCAGACCTTAGACTGGCAATTCATAAAATTTAGCCTTTCATTAAAAAGCCTCCAAAAATCACAGACTTCTTTTTACTGGATGATTCAAAAAGATACTGGATGTCAGATTTTCCAACAGTACCCTCAAATTTCTGCATGCCTTTGTACTTCCCAAATTTCAAAAGGGAATGCTTACATGTCCAAACTCCAAACTGCCCTGGCCACAACAGGTGACTGAGTATTTGAGCTCAGTACATACACTTGTCCACTTGTCCTGAAGCAACATTAAAGTCTGTCCCAGGATCTGCTCATACAGAAGGCCTCCAAATTACTCATGAACAAGTAAGGAACTACGTGAAAAGGTGACTTGTAATTATATGTCATGAAGGAAAGGGAGGTAAAAACACTGGTCTACCTGCACGGTATCTTCTTCTTTCCTGAGCCATTTACTCTAGGAGGTGGCAGCAGGATATCTGCCAACAAACTCTACTGAACCACTCCTATAAACTCTTGCTGTCAAGGATTTTCAAAACTGAACCTTTTGCAGGATAAGGACAAGTAAGTATCTAGAGCCTAAACTAGGGGCTAGAAAAAGATTCACTAGTTCCTCTGAAGATGCTGCTGACTTCAGCTGTGCGACACATCAACATACAGCTTAATGTTAGCAGCAAGAAGAAACAAGTTTAAACACATGAAAATGCAGTAACATCACAAGAAAGTATCAAGAGGAAGAAAAGCAAAGCAGGACAACATACTGACAGTGACCCTATCAAGGCATAGGAAAAGGAAAGACACAAAGCATCAGGTACAACCAAACAAATGGTTCATGGGAGCTAGCTCAGATCATATTAAGTCCACTGCATCTCCATCAAATTCTCTAAGTACAACCAACACATCGGGCCAAGTGTTTTAGGCTTTACACACCACCTCCTTGATCCATTACAAACACATAGACACACTGATGGGAGGAGCAGCAGGTGTAAGTAACTTGTTTAGATGAAGCAACTCCTGGAAAGTTTTATTTCTGCCTTCAAGTAGTGACAGGCAGAAAGAGCAACCCCACAATTCATTTACTTGGAAGGATTAGCTGTTAAAATGGTGTGCATAGTCAGAAGTGTAATTCTGGAAATTAAATAAATCATTTGATTGGTTTTGTTCTTACAGCAAAAGACAATACCTCCTTACAATCAAACGATGCAATTTGAAAGTGTTTAAATAGAACTGTAAGCTTAAAAATCAAGAGTTAAGGTTTGTGATTCTAATATGGGCATCCCCTAAAGATACATTGCTTAAAGCCTGAAAGCTTCACCTAATCTTTCATTTGATTATTGAACCCTGGATAAGTAGTATCACCAAGCAATAAAATGCCAAAGAAATGGGATGGAAACTGTGAAAGAATGTTCAATAAATACTGAAGAACTCCTGACACCAAGAACCAGGTCTTAAAGCATTGTGTTTTAGATTAACCCTTAGACCTTAACATGGCCCTAGCACCCTCAGGAACTGTTCATGCAGCTTGTAAGATAAACATACCACTCATTAATGTTTATTGGAGCAATTACTTTTTTGTAAAGGTATCCTCCACAAATAAATTACCATTTACTCAAGATACTGAAGTGGCCATATGTATTATTTTCTTTACTGCAAAAATAACAAGACCTTATATTCCAAATTGAACTACTGATTTCCTTTGCTATCTATATACCTATTGCTGGGATGCTTGTGTAACACCTAATCTGTTTTTCAAAGGAAGCTGTATTATAATTAAATTAGTACAAGCATAGTCTGACAGAATGAACTAATAAACATAACAAATACTAAACCACAAATTTTTATTAAAAGCATACAGGACCACATTTGACTTAGAAAATTATGCTATCTAGGACAGCCTTGTTTTCATTTTGCACTCCCAGTCTTGCCTCCCTTTGTTAGAGTAACTACTACCAAGGTATGATGAGTACAAACTTTGAACCAGAATTTTGTTGATTGTCTCCAATTCTGGCAAAGACCATTACAGAGTGTGTTATGACATAGTTCTACACCAATCAATGTCTCCAGAAGCACTAACATGCATAAAACAAATGTAATATGGATGTTTTACATAACACAGATGGAAAAGTTTTCTGTATTTGAATGATTGCATTCTGAAGTCAGAAAGCTGAAAAACTGCAGAAAGTGCAATCTGTAAGAACTTTCACCACCATATTATAAAGACACAGAACAAAAAGTAAAACATTTCAGAAACACTTGGAAGAATAGAAGTTAGAGAGCCATCACTGTATTGGAGCAGATCTTAATTTCTAACATAAAGAGACCTCAAGGACAAAAGCAAAGAAGTTTGAGCCCACTGGAAGCTGATGGTTGATGCTACATTTCTTGTTTTCTGGACATGCTGAAGCCAAGTGCAAGGCTCTGTGAATTCCCTCCACTTGCCCACACAAACAAAACTGTACACTTCAACAAAACTTGCCTTTATATAGTTTAACAATGGAAGAAAACAAAAATAATGATGTTCTGCACATCACCAAGACTGGGTACATAGAGCATAGGTGG